ATTAACCAAAGTAAATCCATCTTCCTTTTTTTATTTCATTCACGATATTTACCCAATCACACTTAAATATTGGAATATGAAACGTATTATAATCAAGCACTATAACATCATGGAAAACTCCATAATAAAGAACTTGCCCAACTATTTGTGCATTAAAAATGTTAGAAATAAAAGAATAATAGCACAACTAGAAATTTATTCTTTGATGTTTATTCCAACCTTATAATCCAACCAGACAGCAAAAGCATCAATGTGCTTCTTATGTAATAAAGTCTCATTTTTTTCCAGTCGTCTGTCAATACTCTTGAGTTCATCCATATGCATCTCCTAAGGTAAATACAATTTATCAAAAAGTAAATGTGGTTGATCTACTTAAAATTTATCGAACTCGATATTTAATAAACATACTCTATGTATGGTTGAACTTCTGTACTTTTCAGTAACACGTAGCGATGGGCAACTTTTAACACGTCATTAGGTGTACAATTGTCTTCTCTTTAGAAATTGTACGCCCTACAACTAGGAAATTGGTCTCATATTCTTCATTGTGTACAAGCTTAGAGCTTATTTCAAATGCTTGTGTTACGTATTTGCTACAAAATTTCGCATTTTCTTCAACAGTATATTGTTTAGCTATGCATCCTTCAAGCCATGTATGATTCATAACATACCCTTTAAAAACTTTCATAAATCTCTCAAATGGATACATCCAACGATATTGTACTGGTCCATATAGATGAACTTCTCTCCCAATATGGATTGTCAAATGAACCATTATATTGAAAAAGGAAGGCGGAAAATACCTTTCCAACATGCATAAAGTTTCAGAAATGTCCTCCTCTAATTGTTCAACCTTATTTCTATCAACAATTCCTTGACATATTTCCTTGAAAATGAACTCAATTTAAAAATGGAGTTCCTTAGTCCTTTAGGTAGAAGTCCTCTCAACGCAACTTATAATAATTGATGCATTAAAATGTGACAATCATAAGACTTCAGCCCAACTATCTTACATTTTTCCACTGCTATGCAATTTTCAATATTAGATCCATAACCATCGGGTACTCTCAAGTTAGCGAGCTTTTTGCAAAAAATTTATATTTCTACTTTTGATAAGGTGTTGGGAGCATCTAACAGGTAGAATTTATTTCCTCTACTCTTCTTCCATGTCGTTATGAGAGTTAATGCCGTATTTAGATTTTCCTTTGACATCCAAAAGTGTATTGATGATGCTATCTCAAATATTCCTCTCCACATACATCAAATCCAAATTGTGACGTACAAGCAAAGTCTGCAAATCAAACGTCAATGGAGTCATGAAAAACTACACGCAATTAGAAGTATTAAATAAAAAGGAAGGAAATATTACAACAATTACCTTCCAATGTGGTAGATCGAAAAATATTGACTTTTTCTTCCATGTTAAATTAGATTGAGCTGTATTCTTCTTCCTATTTTGTTTACCACTTTTTCCCCAATTATTTGTAATTTTATTAACTTCAATATAATCCTCTTCACTACTTTTTATCTTTGGCCTAATACCATGTTCAATATTTTCATTAAACCAGCTCCTTTTCATGCGAAATGGATGATCAAAAGTGAGAAATCTTCTATGTCCCATGTAAGCAAACTTCCTACCATGCTTCGACCATAGTGAACATCTATTTTCACAACAGATAGAGCATGCAATTTTTCTTTTGAAAGGCCACCCAGATATATTTCCATATGCACGAATGTCATATAGTGTCCACATCAAAATAACTTTTAAGTTGAATGTAGACTTTGTAACTGCATCATACATATCAACTCCATCAATCCATAATAACATTAAGTCGTATACCAGTGGTGCCAAATAAATATCTATGTTATTACTTGGCTGTTTCGATCCTGGGATCAATAAGCTCAACATCAAACTTTCCTTTGACATGCAAATTGAGGGAGGCAAATTATATATAGTTAAGATAACTGGCCAATAATTGTATTTATAGTTAAGATCTTTGAAAGGATTAAATCCATTAGTAGCAAGATCTAATCTAATATTTTGAGGATCGGATGCAACATGTGGTCACCTTTTGTTAATCATATCCCAACTCAATGAATCAACCGGATGCCTAATCTTACCGTCTGAACTTTTATTACTTAAGTGCCATCTAAGTTGTGTGGACATCTCATATATTCCAAACATCCTCTTAAGTCTTGGTATTATAGGAAAATTACACAAGACTTTTGATGGGATTTTTTTTTTAATTTTTTTAATCCGTTGGTTAATTTGTCATCTCAAGCAACCACATTTTAGACATAATTCAACATGTTTAAACTCCTTTCTATATAGACAAAAATCATTTAGGTAAGCACGTACCTTTTCATATCTAAGATCAAATGTATTGACAAGTTTTTTCATCTCATAAAATGAGTTTTGAACTGTATTATTCTTTGGCAGCATGTCTCGAACAAGATATATAAGTTCATCGAAACCATTGTCTGATAGACCATGTGAAGCTTTATACTTAAACATAGCAACCGAAGCTGACATCTTTATAAATGCTCTGGAACTAGGATATAAAGGAATTTCAGCATCATCAACTAAACTTTCAATCTCTTTGTATTTTCCATCTGGACGGGTTTTCAAGATCTACATCATGTTGTGCATAAAAATTCTTAAACATCCCACTTGACTCAAGCATTTCTACGTTGACCAAATTTGATTCACTTGGTTGCTCTCCATGAAATACCCAAAAATTATATGTAGGATTCATACCTTTAATAACCAAATGTCCATAGACTATATCATAATGATAATGCATTAAATTCCCATACTTAACACAAGGGCATGCTATCATTTCTGAATTGCAATTTTCACGAGCTCGTTCAACAAAATTCTGTGTTCATCTCTATATTGTTCTGAAAATTTACAAATTAAACTTTATGATCATTATACGTTAATTTTTTTTATTTGATAACTAGATTTGTAAGATTGTTTTAGATGATAACCTTGATAAATGCATCCACTCTTTGCCCATTATAGGCAGTGGCGAATCCAAGAATTTAAGCGAGCTAGGGCAATCGTTGATTGTTGACCATCAATGCCTAAATAATGAGATTATTTATTAATATTTTAATTAGTTGGTGATGTATTTGGTGCTAAACTTACATTAAGGCAAGTGTCACAAAGTCGAAGATTCAAAAATTGTAAGTTGAGCACAAATGTTGAACAGTAACATGAGGCTAAAAGAGCACACAGGATATAACCTCCAAAAGACTAATGGAGAGTTCGAGATAGGCTAAGAGTTGTGCTTAGTTATTATTGATTTTGAATTATTTAGCATTGCTTGGAAGATCCGCGGTTTTTTATCATCAGGAACACTAAAGCGTTCCCAAATTTCACTCAACTCCTATTCAGTAAGATTGGAAAAAATTCTCGAAGCTTCAAAAACCCCCTCATCACTTTAGTTAAGGCTTACAAATTCATTCAAAGGTCTGCATACCTCATCATGCACCTCAATACTAGAATGGGAACTACCTCTCTTTCCCTAATAAGCATTGGGTTAAGGCAAGTACCCGAATTAGTAACTGTAGTATAAGGTAATGCCTCAACATACACAAATTTTATGAAAGTACAAAAACACTAGAGGAATCTTCCCTAAGTTAGGATCTCTCGATGTCAGAATCGATGTACACATTTTAGGAGTCGCTTTGAGAAGATATTATAATAAAAAGCTTACAAAGTACAAGAATAAAAGCAGAACACATACATTAGAAATGCCGTTTGAAGAAAAATGAAAGAAGGTGCAAGATAAAATCACCAAAAAAATAATCCCAACAATTAAGAATAATAAAGAATAATGACCTATTATAAGTTCTGAACAATAAAACATAAATTGTCGAATCAGACCAAAAATAATCAAAGTTGTTCAAACTTTCTTAAACAATCGTAATTGTTGAATACTAAGATGCACCTGATTGAAATTCTAAATGAACGGACGAGATCATACTTAGTCCGTGGGCCACCCATCTAATACGCAAACAAGCCCATTAACACACACACACAAAAAAAGGCTACAATCATGGCACATCCCCTTAACACAACCACATATCATCTGCAAGAAACATAGAGAGGCGTTCAATATAATGCCATCAGCAGGTTCACAGTTTAAAAAAGAAAAAAAGAAAAAAAAAGTCCTAGATTTCATATGTATAATAAAATTGGAATTCGGAGACTATTTGTGGATATCGATCCCGATCAAGAAGAGCGTGCTGCACTTCTTCTCGAAGTGCAGACCTTGATCATAGAACAGCTGGAAGAGGAGTCTAAAATGGCACTCTTGGGCTCAGGAATTCCTATATTAATTAAGTGACACAGTAAAAACTTTTTCAATTCAAAAAAGAAGTTTATCCTATGAACTCAACTCCTTATGTGAAGCTTGAAAGCACCAAGGCAGCTAAAAGTAAAAAACGCTCGCAAAAGACGCAAGGCAAACCATCCCCCTTGATGGCAGGAAAACCTTTATTTTAATACACTTGGGTAAAATCCCAAAAATATGTCTTCTAAACTACCGAATAACAATTGAATACATAATAGAATTAGTTATAAGACCACCACTAAACGATTGCCAATTGTCATTTTCTAGAATGACCCAAAGCCCCAAGAAAATCTATAAATACCCTGTCCATGAGGAGAAATGGATGCAAATTCAAATATCTCTCTTCCAAATAATCATTTCACCTATTGCTCTAGTTTAAGTATCAAAATCAGTGAGTTTAGGAGAAAGCAATGGCTAAGTGAGAAATTTATTTATCGTAATTCAAATGTCTACAAATAGTTTGAAAAGTAAGTTGGGAATGACAAACATCTTTGAATCAATTTGACAGGGAGTTTAAAGAAATCCAATTTTCTAGATTATATATATATATATATATATATATATATATATATATATTTTCGGTTAAGATTTTTCATAATGTAATTATATATGTAGTTATTTTGGTAAAGTTTCCCTCTCTTCTAAATTCAACCATTATTTGAATTTATCAAATGAAATCATTTTGTACATTCTATTATTGACTACTACATCCCATACATGTCCCGAAGGGTGAACTGCAAAAGTTCGAATCATGCTGTTATACAATCTGGAAGAAAAATGAAAAGCTACTTGTACCAAGTTCATTTGGCACTTCAAAGTACGTGCTATCTCAGCGAACTCTGTGCTACGAACGTAGGATCCTACAATGGCTAATATGTTACAAAGGTAATCTAAAACATTTACCTGTGCGAAAATTATTGAAAGAAACTACAAATTTCCATGGACTCATGGGGCTCGAATTACAATTTGACATTCTCTATCATTTTCCCTTTCTTACTTTTGACCATCTTTACCAACAATGATGCCAACTAATTGGCAAGGCCCAGCTTCCTCTAGCATTTGAACCACTGTTCTCATAGTAGGCCTTAATGCAGGAACTCTGGCTGTACACAGAATAGCAATTTTCAAAACCTTAATAGCATCTTCCTTTTGAACTTGTGGAATAGATGAGTCCACTATGCTTAACACACTTTCTTTGCTCTTCAACTTGCTGTATACCCAATCAACTATGTCCTTATTCTCCCCGAACTCTGGCTCAACTGGTCTCTTCCCCGTTACAAGCTCCATTAGTACTACTCCAAAGCTGTACAAATCACTCTTCTCATTTACTTTGTTTGTATAGCCATACTCTGCATATCAAAATTTTTTGAACGTAAATTAAAATCATCAGAATAAGTAATCAACAATGAGTTCAATTACTACGTAGTGCTAAATATTTGCTTACCAGGAGCTATATACCCGTGAGTTCCTGCAATGATTTGAGTCGATGATTCCTTGTTCGAATTTTCCTGAACAATCTTTGCAAGTCCAAAATCTGCAATCCGAGGTTTTAAATCCTCGTCCAACAAAATGTTACTTGATTTGACATCACGGTGAATCACTGGCCTGTCACAACCATGATGCAGATATTCCAATCCTTTTGCTGCACCAACAGCAATTTCATACCTTGTATCCCAATCAAGGGCTAGTTTTCTACAAGTGTGCAATCTATCCCATAAACTTCCATTAGGCATATATTCATAAACCAGTAAGCTTGAGTCCTCACTAGTAATGCTACAATACAACTTAACCACGTTAATATGTCTTATTGAGCTCAATGTTTGAATCTCGGCCTCAAATTCCCGTGATCTAATTCCACAGTTCGCCAACATTGGAGTTGTACTGCGGATCTTTTTCCAGTTGCCAGTATTGTTAGAGTGCCATATGTGCTTCACAGCCAATTCTATGCCATTTTCAAGAGCAACTCTATAAACATGACCAGAACCACCTTTCCCTATTATGTTCTCTTGCTTTATGGAATCAAGAATCTCATCTTCTGTAAAGCTCAAAACATGGTAAGGCTTTACATTCCAAGAATCCTCCTTCAGCGATACTCCATGTTCTGTTTTTCTCATCTTCTTTATGCAAAAGAAGCCTGCAATCAGGAGTATGACAATGAATCCGACCATGAAGCAGAATAAGACCGTTCGAAGGTGCCTAGATGTGCCTGCTTCAGATAAACATGGATGGAATTTCCTGATTTTGTCACTACAAAGGCCATTGTTTCCTGCAAAGCTGTCATTGTAAGCTTCAATTGAAAGAGACTCCGGTATGCGACCAATCAGTTGATTGCTTGAGAGATCAAGAAGGCTAAGACTCAGAGAGGATAAACTCCCTGGAATTGAACCAGAGAGTTCATTCCATGACAAATTCAGGTAATTGAGAGTTGGTAAAGACCCGAGAGAGGCTGGAATTTGACCGGTAAGAAAATTATTAGCCATGTTAATATCAGTGATGGAATCACAAGAGCCTAAGGAATCTGGTATTAAACCAGATAACTTGTTGGCCTGCAGTTGAAGACTGTTTAGTTGCTTGAGTTCACCAATTGTTGTGGGAATATTACCCGTAAATTGATTGTAACTCAAATCAATAGAAACCAAAGCTGAAGCCTTTGAAATATCTGATGGTAATTCACCTGTGAATCTGTTTTTAGCAAGCAAGAGGCTAGATAAAGACTTTGCATTTCCAATATCAGAAGTGATCGGCCCTTCCAAGTTATTTTCTGCAATATCAATCAATTCTGCATTAGGAAGCCCCCATATCCCGCCAGGAACCTCGCCAGAAAGCAAATTCTTGCTAACACGAAAACGCGTTAAACTCTTGCAATTCGCATAAGTTGCTGGAATTTGGCCTGTGAAATTGTTCTGCAGGATCAAGAGCTTTTTCATGGTACCCTTCTTGCACATGTCTGGTGGTATCCGACCAGTGAAATAATTCTCCGAGGCATCGATGAAATGGAATGCCGACCAAGAACCAAGCTTCTCTGGCAGCTCCCCTGAAAGCCTGTTCTTGTAAATAGAAAAATTCACCAGTTTCTCGAATTCCCCCAGCTCAGGTGGGATTTCACCGTAAAATTCATTCTTAAATACCTGTAAACTGACCAACTGCCTCAAACTTCTAACTTCAGAAAGATTTCCCGTAAGATGATTGTTTGAAGCATCGAAATATTCCAGGCTCGACAAACTTCCCAATCCAGTAGGTAATTTCCCAATTAGTTCATTCTGGTAAAGCTCGAGCTGCCATAGGTTTCTCAGCCTGGAAATCCCAACAGGAATTTCCCCAGTTATATAATTTTGTGCTAATTCCAGGTTCATCAGCTCAACAAGATTTCCAATCCCGTCCGGAATTTTCCCTTCAATGCTGCAGTTTGACAAGTATAGCCACTTCAGTTTCGTGAGCTTCAAAATTGCAGAAGGAAATGGAGTTCGATCAAAGGGATTGTCTCCGAGGCTCAAAACAATAAGATTCGTCATGTTTTCAAGAGAATCCCAGGGAAAAGTGCCTGAAAATCCACTTCTATTTGCATGCAAATATATTAATCCACTAAGCAACGGAATTGCTGGAAATGATCCGGAGAAAAAGTTGTTCCCCAGGTCTAAATACCTGAGAGAAACACACATATTTAATTCATCAGTAACAGGACCGAACAAAAAGTTGAATCCCAGGGAGAGTGTTTCCAGGGATTTTAGCCTGCAAATGGAATCCAAAGGAATTGAGCCCGTCAAATTCTGTCTGGAGAGTTCAATTTCTATGACCGCATTATTTGAATCACAAGTGATTCCTGAAAAGTTACACATGGGATTGGTGGATTCCCAGGAATCAAATACTTTGGTGTTGGATTCATGCAAGGCAGATTTGATGGATAGAAGTGTTTGCAGCTCGTTGGCCGCTGCTGCGCCGGCGGAGGAAAGGAAAAAGAGAAGGCAAAGGAATTGAAGATTGCGCCGGAAAATGGTTGCGACCACCATAGCTAAAGACTGGATTGACTCAAGTGAGGATTTTTTCTTGCGTCTTCAGAAAGTTTAAAATTTTGTCACATTTATCTGATAAGAATTGCTACCTTTTCTTGTGGTCTATGATTGTTTATTTTATTATTTTAATCCTTTTGGCTCCATTACGTAAATGCGTTTGGTGTAAGTTGGATCAATAAATCTTCTTGGATAGGGCACGTAGGCGCCTTGTTTGGACGGCCTACGTGGCCCTGTCCATCCAACAGTGATTTCGCGAATTTTGTAGGAATTATTTTTCTTGTTCATGTACTATTATTTAGTAATTACACATTTAATTGAATGTTAAAATTTAACAAATTTTATTAATTAATATATTAGATAGTAAATTTTTTGAGTTGTTAGATATAATGATATTAATTGATTTAAAACAAATAATTGTACAAGGTACATTTTCTGATTTGATCCAGACTAATCCAAATTGTTTTTCTCTCGGGGAATTAATTCTAAAATGGACATCTTCTGTCGTAACCTTTCAAGAGTGTCGGTTCCTATCAATCGGTTTTATGATTAATAAATACACAATTATGAGTCCAGATGAGATTTCTGGTAAAGCTAGCGTAT